CTCCTAGATAATGAGATTTATTTTCAATTTTTTAGGACCCTCCTGGATAATGAGATTTAGTTTTAGTTTTTCAGGACCCTCCTGGATAATAGGATCTAGTTTTAAGCTTTCAGGACCCTCCTGGATAATGGGATTTAGTTTTAAGTTTTCAGGAATCTCCTGGATAATGGGATTTAGTTTTAAGCTTTCGGTACCCTCTTGGATAATGAGATTTAGTTTTACGGTTTCAGGACCCTCCTGGATAATGGGATTTGATTTTAAGTTTTTAGGACCCTCATGGATAATGGGATTTAGTTTTAAGTTTTGAGGATTCTCCTCGATAATGTGATTTAGTTTTAAGTTTTTAGGACCCTCCTCGGTAATGAGATTTAGTTTTAAATTTTCGGGACCATCATGGATAATGGGATTTAGTTTTAAGCTTTCAGGACCTTCCTGAATAATGAGATTTAGTTTTAAATTTTCGGGACCATCATGGATAATGGGATTTAGTTTTAAGCTTTCAGGACCTTCCTGAATAATGAGATTTAGTTTTAAGCTTTCAGGACCCTCCTCGATAATGAGATTTATTTTTATGTTTTTGGGACCCACCTAGATAATGAGATTTAGTTTTATGTTTTGAGGACCCTTCTAGATAATGAGATTTAGTTATAAGTTTTCATGACTCTCCTCGATAATGGGATTTAGTTTTAAGTTTTCAGGACCCTCTTGGATAATGGGATTTAGTTTTAAGTTCTCATGACCCTCATAAATAATGAGATTTAGTTTTAAGGTTTCGGGACCCTCCTGGATAATGGGATTTAATCTTAAGTTTTCAGGACCCTCTGGGATAATGGGATTTTTTTTTTTTTTTTTTTTTTTTTTTTTTTAAGTTTTCGGAACCCTCCTGGATAATGGGATTTAGTTTTAAACTTTCAGGACCCTCATGGATAATGAGAATTAGTTTTCAGTTTTCAGGGCCTTCCTAGATAATGAGATGTAGTTTTAGGTTTTTAGGACCCTCCTGTATAACGGGATTTAATTTTAAGTTTTCAGGACCCTCCGGGATAATGAGATTTATTTTCAAGTTTTCACGACCCTCCTGGATAATGGAATTTAGTTTTAATTTTTCAGGACCCTCCTCGATAATGAGATCTAGTTTTAAGCTTTCAGGACCCTCTTGGATAATGGGATTTAGTTTTAAGTTTTCAGGACCCTCCTGGATAATGAGATTTAGTTTTAAAGTTTTCAGGACCCTCCTATATAATGGGATTTAGTTTTAAGCTTTCGTGAACCTTCTCAATAATGAGATTTAGTTTTACGTTTTCAGGACCCTCTTGGATAATGGGATTTAATTTTAAGTTTTGAGGACCCTCCTGGATAATGGAATTTAGTTTTAAGTTTTCAGAACTCTCCTGGATAATGAGATTTAGTTTTAAGCTTTCAGGACCCTCATCGATAATGGAATTTATTTTTCTATTTTTGGGACTCACCTGGATAATGAGATTTGGTTTTAAGTTTTGAGGACCCTTCTAGATAATGGGATTTAGTTATAAGTTTTCAGGACTCTTCTGGATAATGAGATTTAGTTTAAAGTTTTCAGGACCCTCCTGGATAATGTGATTTAGTTTTATGTTTTAGGACCCTTCTGAATAGTGAGATTTAGTTTTAAGGTTTTATGACCCTCCTGGATAATGGGATTTAGTCTTAAGTTTTCAGGATTATAATTATATATATATATATATCTTTAATTATATATATTAAGTTAGCAAGAAAGATAAAAAAATCACGTTCATGTAGTATGTTAGCAAAACAGAAATATATACTCAAAATACAAAAATGGAGGACAATATTTCATTCATTAAAAGTCAATACTCAAAACAAACTACTCAAAAATATTTTTAAAGTACTCATGGCATAGTCAACACCAAGATCATCTTCATTAAGTACATTTGAATCCTCTTGTGAAACAAAGATGTCTTAACATCTTTATTTTTATCTAAATATATAATTATATGCAATGTTAATTAGTTAACATTAAAAAATAACTAAAATTTTATGAACAAAAAATATTTATATTCGCATGAAAAAAATATTACCAGTTTGAGATTACATTACTTTTTTTTTTTGTTGTTATTTTTAGTTTCTTATATTTTTATATTTTTAATTAAATACGTTATTAAGCCCACGGCCCGGCCCGGCCCAAACTCGGTCAAGCCTCATGGGTCACTGGCTTATTTGGGTGGGGTTAAAAGCCTCGTTTATAAATGAACTCCAAAAATCTTAGCCAACCCTATTAAATTACGTGTTCGGTTGGACCGGCCTATCGGGTCAAGCCCATATTGACGGCTCTATTAAGCACCATGTTGCGGCCCTAATATTAATGTCGATACTAAATGAAAAATAAAAAATTAAAAGGTATGACGATTCAACAATTTAAATTTCTAACACAATTGGTTTTCTCAAATAAAAAAATACTACAATCAAACATTATTTGTCTCGTTAAATCACAATTAGAATTGTAGTCTTTAGGTGAAGTTTCTTTTACTTTCTTTAATTAATTCAAGAAAAAGAACTTGAGTTGTTCATGTAAAAAAATTATTAATATAGTCAAAATTCAGGATTAATGTTGAAATCGTACCAAGTAGCCACATTTAATGTTACTATTTGGAACATAATCATATTTTATACTACCCGTTCCAGTTTATGTGAACCTATTTCCTTTTTGGTCCGTTCAAAAAAGAATGACCCATTTCTAAATTTGGAAATAATTTTGCTTAAACTTACAATTCTACCCTTAATGAGAAGCTTTTATAACCACACAAATACTCCGGTCCCCTTTTTGAATTGTTTAGGACCACAAATTCCAAAAGCATTCATTTTTTCTTAAACTCCGTGCCCAGTCAAACAGGTTCACATAAATTGGAACAGAGTGAATAATGTATTAAAATTTTAGTCATTTCGCTGTTGCTTCCTCCTCCACTCTCATGAATACCTTGACAAATCTTTTATAAATTTCAAACATTAACCTACCTTAATTTATCTGACTTATCAAGTCAAAATACTATAAAAACTTAAATTATCATGACAAAGAAAATTAATGTTGCATTATTTTTTATGGTTTATCACAAAATTGCAGTTAAACCGAATTGCTAAAACTTTGAACTTATTATACTTGAGGTCCCGAAACATATCTCTGCCGCTTTATAAAAATTATGACTATACAGAGTACAGACCAAAAAAAAATAAAAATATATGACTATATTTTAAATATTCAGATTATTAGCAATCGTAAAAGTGGCTATTAGTGCACTTGCCCATTATTTCTCGGACTGGTCCAATAAATACATGAAAATTCGAAAGAGACCCCCAAATTTTGCGAAGTCATGTCTTCACTTCTCTACACTCGCAGTCGCTTCTCTGCCGCTCTTAGAGTATTCACTCTGCGCAGATTTTCTTCCACAGTCACTTGTAGTAAAACTCCTTAAACTCCCACTTTTCTCTTTCTCTTTAAAATATTTATGCTTTTTTTTTTTTTAATTCTTTTGATTTTATGCAGATGCTTCAGAAGAAGAGAAAGTCACTGATGCAACTGAACAAAATTCAAGATTCATTCACCCCTCTTCAGTTATTCATCCAAGTGCTATTTTGGGTGATGTAAAGTTACATTCTTTTGTATCTTTATGCCTTTCTGTTCATGAAAATCTCAAGTCTTTAGCATTTTTTTATGTCAAGAGCAGCATTTATTTTTTGCCTAATTAGTTAATCAATGGATTTATTATAGCGACCGGGCCAGACGCAATTCCGATTGAATTTTAGAAGTGTGTGGGCATAGCAGCCTTGGAGTGGCTGACTGGGCTGTTTAATGTTATTTTTAGGACGAAGAGGATGCCGGAAGAGTGGAGGTGGAGTACGGTGGTTCCGTTGTATAAGAACAAAGGTGATATCCAGAGTTGTAACAATTATAGGGGTATCAAATTACTGAGTCATACCATGAAAGTTTGGGAGAGCGTGGTTGAAGCGAGGGTGAGGAGGACAGTGTCTATATCCGACAATCAATTCGGGTTTATGCCGGGGCATTCTACTACGGAAGCTATACACCTTATTAGGAGGTTGGTGGAACGGTACAGGGAGAGGAAGAAGGATCTGCACATGGTGTTTATTGATTTAGAAAAAGCGGACGACAAGGTTCCTAGAGAAGTTCTATGGAGATGCTTAGAGGCAAAAGGCGTGCCGGCTGCCTACATTTGGGCAATTAAGGACATGTATGATGGGGCTAAGATTCGGGTTAGGACGGTAGGAGGCGACTCTGAGCAGTTTCCAGTTGTTATGGGGCTACACCAAGGTTCTGCGCTCAGCCTGTTCTTATTTGCCCTGGTGATGGACGCGTTAACACACCATATTCAAGGGGAGGTGCCATGGTGTATGTTATTCGCCGATGACATAGTTCTGATTGATGAGTCGCGAACCAGTGTTAACGAGAGGTTTGAGGTCTGGAGACAGGCCCTTGAGTCTAAGAGTTTCAAGCTGAGCAAGACGAAGACGGTATACCTGGACTGTAAGTTCAGCACTGAATCGAGGTAAGTGGGCGTGGAAGTGAGGCTTGAATCACAGGTCATACCAAGTAGTGGCAATTTCAAGTACCTTGGGTCGGTTTTCCAGAGGGGAGGGGAGATTGACGAGGATGTCACACACCGTATTGGGGTGGGGTAGATGGAGTGAAAGTTAGCATCTGAAGTCTTGTGTGATAAGAGAGTGTCACCGATACTCAAAGGTAAGTTTTACAAAGCGCTGGTTAGACCGGCCATGATGTATGGGGTTAAGTGTTGGCCTGTTAAGAACTCACATATCCAGAAGATGAAAGTAGCAAAAATGAGTATGTTGAAGTGGATGTGCGGTCACACTAGAATGGATAAGATTAGGAATGAAGATATTCAGGAGAAGGTGGGCGTGACTCCCATTGATGACAAGATGCGGGAAGCGAGGCTTAGATGGTTCGGACACGTACAAAGGAGAAGCCCAGATGCTCCGGTAAGGAGGTGTGAGCGGCTGACTTTGGAGGGTACGAGAAGAGGTAGAGGACGGCCTAAGAAGTATTTGGGAGAGGTGGTCAGGCAGGACATGACGAGGCTTCATATTTCCGAGGACATGGCTCTTGATAGGAAGTTGTGGAGGTCGAGTATTAGGGTTGTAGGTTAGGTGGTAGTTGAGTCTCCCTTACTTCGTACCTTTGTGAGGCTAGTCTTGTAGGGTTTTTGTCGATGTCATCTAGTGGCAATGTTGTGTCTTACTACTCCTTTGTTTACTATAGTGCCGGGTCTATGTACTGTCTATCGCGTTTGCTTTGCATCTACTTTCTCATTTCCATGATATTATTTTTCCTATGGTTTCTATTGGTGATACTGATATTGTCTCTTTTCGTCTTTTTGAGCCGAGAGTCTTTCGGAAACAACCTCTCTACTCCCTCGGGATATGGATAAGGTCTGCGTACACACTACCCTCCCCAGACTCCACTAGTGAGATTTCACTGTATCGTTGTTGTTGTTGGATTGGTTATATGAGTTCTCCGTAACCCATTTAAAAGAATTTAAGTTATATACAATGTCAGCGTAAAATTACTATTAGTTACTTTTAACATGTGAGAGCAAGTTACTTACCATTTTTAATAGATTACCAATTAATGCTTGTCAAGAGATTTACCTATTATGACCTAATAAGTGACTTGATTGTGTAAATATTTTTTGCACCGTCAAAGATTTATCACATGCTAACTTTTGCACATAGGTGGAGTGTTTTGTTTTTTTGCTTTTATAAATAATTTTTTTTTTTGGTTTTGCTTCAGTAGTATAATGCAGAAAATTAGAGTGTTTGATTAGGGTTGGAACCTCTGGTTATAAACTTACAACGCGGTCTTGTCAAGTTAAGTTGAGAATGTGAGGATAAAGTTTCAAACTTTTAGCTGCATAGGGAATAATAGGTCATGGTCGTCAACATTCGATGCCATTGCTCTGGTGATACGTGTCCTATTTTATAGCTTTTTTAATTACAGCTTAGCTAGTGAAGATTTGAGATGAGGAAGGTTGAAGATCTTTTCTCCAAGGAAACTTTATCGTATGCACTCTAATATTTGAATAGGTGTTGTACTTATCTTAAAATGTTGTATAGTCGAGGGACTTCATATCTTTTCCTCTTGGAATTAGCGGACTTAGCTAAATTTAGAAGAAAGTGGAGGTAAACTATCCATATTGGTAATTCCAACTAGTTCGGATTAAGGCTTACTTGTTATTGCGCTTACAGTAGGTTAAATGTTTGCTAAGAGTCCTCGTATTCTGGTAAAAACTATATCTCAGTATAGGGACTAGTGTGAGATTAGAGAATTCTAACTTTAGAGAACCCCAAATTTGCCATACAAGACAAATAATTTATTTTTTGGGCTGAAATATGCACGAAATATAACAAAATGACTGTCGGTGATTTCATATAGCCAATCCCACCTAGTTGGGATTGACACATAGTTGGTCTATTGGTTGATTGATCAATTAGGATATTCACATTTCTCCCTGTAGTTCATTTTAGCTTTATCCAATTTTGTTGGAGATGTTTATCAGCATTTCACAAATAGTTAAAGGAACTTTCTCTGCATGTAGGTTGTTTCAATTGGTCCCTTCTGTACCATCGGGCCTTTCGCAAAGTTGGGGAACGCTTGTCAGCTGTATCCTGGAAGCCACATTTTCGGAAATACTGAACTGGGAGATAATTGCATTCTTATGACGTGAGTTAATTTTTTTTAGATTTACTTCCTTTCTGTCTCCAGTATCGTTTAGGCTGCATATTTTTAGCAGTGGTGCTGTAATTGGAGATGCTCTTCCTGGTCATACAGTCATCGGGAGAAACAATATTTTTGGGCATCATGTTGTAATTGGTGTCAAGTGCCAAGACATGAAATATAAGGTCGGTATCCTGATGTTAAACTCGTTACTGAAAAAAGTTCAAATTATATGAGAAATATCTTAATTCCTTCACAGTTAAATTTATCCAATATTATACTAGATCATCTTATGACGCATTGAGTTATTTGGTTTGGCTTATGAGCTCAGAGTGGTTTCTATCAATTTGATGATCCATTTCCACATCATGATCACTCTCTTTCCCGCCCTCAAATTGAAGTAGTCGGTGCTTATTTGAGAATGCATATAATCATTATCTTGTTTGTAATTTCATCATTTCAGTTTGGGAATGAGTGCTTTCTCGAGATTGGTGACAACAATGATATCAGGGAGCATGTATCCATCCATCGATCTTCAAGTCCTAGTGATAAAACCGTACGAAACTAGCTCGTTACTATTTTTGCACTGGAGAAATTATAATTCTCAGTACATATTTATCTTTAATGAGCTTATATAAACAGGTTATTGGTGATAACAATCTTATTATGGGCTCATGCCATATAGCTCATGACTGCAAAGTGGGCGACAACAATATTTTGGCAAACAGTACACTTCTCGCAGGCCATGTTCTGGTGGAGGTCATTGACTCTCCTCTTTAGTCATTTTGCAAAGCATGACATATTCTGGAAAATTTGATCCAACTGTTGGATGATGGTTTAAATTCTTAACATGCAGGACTATGCTCACACTGCAGGAGGTATTGTAGTTCATCAATTTTGCCATATTGGTTCTTTTTCTTTCATTGGAGGTGGTTCAGTGGTAAGATTCTATTCTAATTCAAATTGTTAGCTGTTTTTTTGTGTAATTTACTCCAGTAAAAGGAGAATACTGTTTTTCGAAAGTTAAAGGCTTCCGCTCATTATAAACTAAGATAACAGTAGTTTCATAGTTTGAATGTTCTTCCTGAATGCAAACATGGTTCAAGTTAGCAAAGCATCTATAACAGCTAGATTCTTACGTTTCTTTATAACTTGCACCACATGATAGCTTAGCTTCTAACATCTTAGTTTGAGTGGAAGATCTTCAAATAGTTTCTTCTGCACTGCTAAATTTAAAGCACAGATATCCAAAGTGCAGCACGCTAACTGCGATATTTTAGATCAGTGTGTTTCCTGTTGGGATCTCAATCTTTTTGTTCTCCAGGTTTCTCAAGACGTTCCAAAGTACACGATGGTGTCGGGGGAAAGAGCTGAGCTTCGTGGGTTGAATCTTGAAGGCCTAAGACGTCGTGGATTCTCTGCTACAGAGGTTCGTTTCATTTTAAAACATTGCTCTATATTTCTATCAAATAGATGTAGGAATTTAAATTTTGATAAGTGGAAAACCATATATGTGTGATATTGGATCGCTCTCGATGTTTTAAATTGGTCTTGTATCTTCATTGCATTGGTCATTTTGATTTTGCAAGTGGAATCATGAGCCAGTTCCTGCTAAAATACTGGTTTGTAATTAACTCTTTTGCCTACTGTAATCATAGTGTCTCAGCGGCTAAAATCCAAAATCCTTTTCCCTAACCTTTGCTCTGACTTGTTTTCAACTTGGTAGTGTTTTAATCAATAAGAAAAAGCTGCTTCTGTTCTGTGCTGTTCATTCGGAGAAAAGACATGCTGCTGCATATATTGAACATGTGCTAAGTAAGAATGTTCCCAATGAGGAAGAAATTCTTTGAAATATTTAAATACTGATCCTAAAGGTTGACATATGTGACATATTGCATAATCTGGTAAGTTGAAACGTTTCTCATTTAAATTTTTTCTTAAGCAACACATTTGGGGTTTAATTAGAACTTTTAACCTTTTCAACATTGGATGCGCATATACTGTTTTTATGGAAGTTACAATGTCAGATGTTGTTTAAGAGATTTACACGTTTTACCATTTCAATTTATTTTACTTTCTGCAATATTCTTAATCTTTAAAAGCGTATCTCATTCCCCACAAATTAGAGGATGTTAAGTCTTGACATCCTCTAATTAATTTAACAATTTGTTCTTGTTTTCATTTTTGAAAAAACAAATTGTTAAATTAATTAGAGGATGTTAAGACTTAAGTATTGTACGTAGGATCTTTCTATCAAAACGTCTTACTTTATGGAAGCCACTCCACAGCCACCACCAAATAAACCGTTTTGGAAAATTTGTTGAGATGGAGATTAAGATATAACAGCTTATATGAGATTTTTTCTTAAGTTTTGAAATAAAGAATACGTTACAAAGCCTTCACTGATTTGTGTCTCAGTTATCTTTTTCCCAGTAAATCAAAAACGGTTTCAAAGAGATTAATGTGGTCCGATAAGATGAAATCTGTAGATCATTTTGCCCCCAAGGATTTGCTTCAGTTGTAAAGATGAAACATGTGATGTGTGGATTCGGCACACGTCAAGTGTACAAACTTTGTCACAGACAAAGCCTGGTATTTAAGTTGGGAGGTGGGAAGAGGGGTTCCCGGAGTTGTGAACCTGTGCGTCAACACAAGATGAGCAAGCAGCCCACACGGGATTTCTCCGATATTAAAAAATAAAGAATTGTAGATCTTTTTTCCTTTTCCATTACAAGCTATTGAAAGATTGGTCTGCTATCAATTTCAATATGTTAAATTGCTCTAATTTTATCCTTAACTTTTATATTCCTGATTTTAATTTAATATTTTCTTGGCAAGTATCCAGATTAAGAGCATGAGAGCAGCTTATAGAGAGATATTTATGCCTACTGATACGAGTTCTGGGAATATTGAAGATCGACTTGCTCAAGTGGTATTGAGTTGCTTTGAATTTTTTGATTGATCTTTTCTGATAAGGAAACAAATATAAGTACTATTTGATTGATAGTATCCCTCTTCTAAAAATGATGTAAAAAGGCAACGTATTTTCAGGAGCAACACAAAGAGCTGAGTCTACTTCCAGCTGTCTGTTCCATGGTACAGTCAATACGTGATTCTTTTGCTGAACATCGCCGTGGAATTTGCAAATTTAGAAGTCGGAGTGGATCTTAGCTCCTTTTCTTCGTAAGTTTGCTGTTTATTTTACTTTTCGTATGCTGTCCTAAACATATATTATACTATCTGCTTGTTACTTCCTGTACTTTGAGTTGCATCAACTGAAACTTGGTTGCCTGATTTTTCAACCATTTTTAAGTTTTCTTAACCAATCTCTATACTTAGTTGCATTGTTTCCTGGATTTCTACTTTTGGCCACATTAATTTTTTTCATGGTGGTGCTTGTAATTTTGCCATCTGATGTAAACTGGCAATAGAAATACTTCACAGCTATTTCTTGCTTAAGTTTCAACATTGACTTCAAGTCCTGAATTCATTCTAATGGAGAAGCATTTTATGTGCATACACAGTATCCTTATGAAGGAACGGAATAGCATCCTTTTCTACTTACAATAACATTCGCGACCGAGTAAATCTTTTCTGTATTTAGAATTAGTGACCACTATGTAGTGTGTATGTGTTGATTGCAAAACATTTACTGAATACCTGGTTTACAGTACTTGACATTTACGCATCTCATCTGAACTCACTGGGTGCTTGCAAAATTCAATACTTTTTGCACTTGCAGTATTTTCTTGTGCTTTTTTAATGAACTAACTGAATAAAGTTAGTAACGTGAAAGGCTTCCAATTCGTAGTGGCTATACCTCGTAATACAATTAATATCTACCTTGTATGACAGGTGAAAGCAAGCATTTGATATTTAGTGCTGCTATAATTAGTTGAGGAATTAAGAATATACGTTATTTTACAGATTCTTTCTGAGCTTATAAATATGGATAAAAAACCATTTTTTTTCTTCTACTTTTCAGCAAGAATACTGAGTTTCACCTCTATCATGGTCCTTGATCTCGTAATACGCCAAACTGTAAACAGGCAAAGAAATGCTGCTCGTCTTGTGAAAGTTTTTATAAGGTGAACAATCCTGTACAAGGACCATAATCATTATTTAAGCTTATTATGGAGGACTAATGAACTGAGAAGAAATCCGTCTGAATGGGCTAAATGAAGCTTATCATATCACAGTTTGTATATCTCAAAGTTGCATCTTCCAGATTCTTTTCGTTGAGTGTAGCAGTTCATTGAGCTATTCTGCACCTCCGGTAAAAACTTTAGTCCCTTGCTCTCTGTTGCGATGATATTGACCACAGTAGCTGCTTTGGATTCCAACCACAATACCGCTTCTTTATCACCTTGTAATGATATACATCAACGTTTGCAACCAAGTTCCCGCTTTCATACTAGTTTTCAACCAATTCCGATCTCTGTTACTCTGTATCTTTAGTTCTTTGCTTGGTCTCGTTTGATGGAAGACAGTCATTAGTGTGGATGAACAATCTTTTTCGATAGCCACCAACTATACTTCAATACTGCTTGGATTTACTATTCGAATTAATCCGAAATCTGGCATAAGCATGTCTGATCTCCCAGATACTTAGAATGTGACTGATTTTTATTTCTTGGAAAGTTAACTATTCTTTGGACAATCAGGTCTACTTTGTGATTGCACTTTTTAAAGGGCTTGTTTACTGCCTATATCAGAGTGGACTTGACTACTAGAGGATGTCGATTCCTCAAAAATGAGTGCTAAAACTCTTATAGAGGTTTATATGAAGGTTTGCGTGTGATTAGTTCAAGTGGCAAAGGTTGAGGGACTTATGACTTAGGTCAACCTGTTTGAGCCTTGTACGATTTGAACTTAGCTTAGTATTTATAGATGGGGGTTCTTGATACTGTCAGTGTATATAACTTGTTTTTTTTTAAAAATATAACTGTTTTTGCGCAAATCAAAAGATTGAAGTTGAAAGTCCCATTTCCTATGACTTGTGAAAGATTTTCGATTATATGGGATCTTATAGTGTCATTGCAGATGTGAAGAAGAAACAGTGTTTAGCTAGTTCATCCAAGGATGAAAAGATAGAACACAACTCTTATATTATCTTGCATTTTCTTTGGTTTCAGTATTCGGTACTTGCATTGGACTCGATATTATATTGCAGTAGTAGCCCCAACAACTTGTGGCATGCCAGAGATATAAAACTCAAAACATTATACTATGCCAAGATAAAAGTCAGGAGGAAAAGTTAGGAAGAGATATTTTGTTTATCTTTGTTCTTGAAATTAAGATTCTTTTTTGGGATAACAATTCCAAATCATGAGGGGTTGCAAGTACAATGATGATAAACAAATATGTGGATATTTTCTATATGGATAGAGACAATCCCCTTTAAAAACTAAGATTTTTTTGTCATAGATTTTACTAGCAAAGTAATAATAATACATATTCAGTAAGAGTTTCTTCCCATTTGCAATGAACTGCATTTTTTCAGCCTTTGGTAATTTGGTCATAACTTCTTGTAGGAATGTCTAAATGACGAACGGTTTGAAGCGTTAGAAACTAGATTTAAAGATCTTTCATTTGATAGGTAAAAGAGCAATGTATGATGTTTTAGGCGTACGCCACAGGTTTGAATGATATCGCAGATAAAAGTTTGGTATTAAAGATCCATCGAATTTCGAACCATGACCTGTTGGTCCTTGAATTCAGAAATTAGATTTAAAATTTGAAGTTTATGGTTTCTTATACTGACTTCAGCTCGGTTCACAGTTAAATACTTATGAATTCCCGTGAATTCTTAGGTTACACTTTTNCTGCCTCCCCCTCCCCCTCCCCCACCCCCACAACGAAAAAAAAAGGTCTTCAATTGCGTCGTATTCCGCAAAACTCTTACTAGATCAACATCAATATTCTCTTTTTCACTATTATCCTACTAAGGCCTTCCTGTCAATATGATCAATATATCTACCTCTTTCATCTATTAGCGACTGACATTGTCCTATTTGAGCTATTCTCAAATCTGGGGAACTAATTGCCTAGTGCATGCATAACTAATTAAATTGGTTAATTAAAGTACATAAAAGTTGGCTTGGACGCTATCGTTATAAAAAAATTGATGTATCTGATCTTATTTTACATACTTACCATATTCTACTAAAAATATATCTATCCAAAAACCTATTATATAATTTTGTGCACAAGATGACCAATAATGGGTATGTATTTATTAAAAGATGCTCACGAAGATGACTTTGTTGACCATTTCTTTTCAATAATAGAGAGTTGAGATAATAGAGAGAATAAATAATCAAAGGAGGTATAGCCTTTTGAATTTTAAATACTGTTCAATGACTATCAAAGATTGCGGTGAAATTGGTAAGTACCTATCCATTTTTTATCAGAGATCTTAGATTCGAGATTTGAAATTAGAATCGTCTTTGATAAAGAATGTTCTACCGCCAAAATGAGTCCAAATTAATCGAACCCCAAAACAGATATAAACCATGATGCCTGGGTGGACAACCAAAAGAAATTGTTCTACATGCGTAAACACATGCCGGTACATCCCGAAGGTCTTTGACTAATTTAACTATACAAAAAGTTATAATAGATGAATCTTGAAAGGTAGTATTCAAATGGGCACGTAGGGCATTAATTAAGGGCAAATTTATAGGTTTAACTGAACCCCATTATTTACCGGTTGGAATATATGTCGACTTTTGAAAACAAGAACGTATATATCGGTGGCGGTTCCATAAAATTAATGCCTAAAGCCAACTTTTAATAAGAAGTCTTATAATTTTTTTATTCGTACATATACAAAAAAACATTTAGTGTTGCCATTTTTTTCATAATTATTATTTATAGTTGTAACGATCCGGCCGATCGTTTTGAGTATTATAGCCTCGTTCCCCCATATAGTTTTTATCTGTGTTTGTTGTTCCAATGGCGGTTCCATAAAATTAGTGGCCTAAAACCAATTTTTAATAAGAGGCCTTATAGTTTTTTTTATTAGTACATATACAAAAAAAAAGTTAGTGTTGCTATTTTTTCATAATTATTATTTATAGTTGTAACGACCCGACCGATCGTTTTGAGTATTATAGTCCCGTTCTCCCATTTATTGCTTATCTGTGTTTGTTGTTGTTATATGACTTGTTAGGGTGGTTGGTTTGGTTCCAAGGATGTTTCGGAATGAATTGAGACACTTTGTCCCAAGGTTGGAAGCCTAAGTTGAAAGAGTTGACCAGATGTTGACTTATGTGTAAATGACTCTAAAATGGAGTTTTGATGGTTCCGATAGCCCCGTATGGTGATTTTGGACTTAGGAGTGTGTCTGGATGCTGATTTGGAGTCCGTAGGTGATTTGGGCTTGAATTGGCGAAAGTTGAAAAAATTGAAGGTTGGAGAGTTGAGAAGTTTGACCGAGAGTTGACTTTATTGTTACCTGGCTCAGATTTTGGTTCCGGAAGTTGGAATAGGTCTGTTGTGTCATTTATAACTTGTGTGCAAAATTTGAGGTTAATCAGAGTTGGTTTAGTATGTTGCATCATTAGTTTTGGAAGTTAGAAGTTCGTAAGTTCATTAGGCTTGAATCGGTCTGCGACTCATAGTTTTAGTATTGTTTGATGTGATTTGAGGCTTCGAGCAAGTTCGTATGATGTTTTAGGACTTGTTGGTATGTTTGATTGAGGTCCTGAGGGCCTCGGGTGGATTTCAGATGGTTAACGGATTGAAATTTGACTTAGAAGAGTTGCTGAAGTTGTTGATGCCTGTGCTTCTGGTTTCCTCTTACGCGATCGCGAGGAGAGGGACGCGATCGTGGAGGGTAAGGTTTTGTAGGTGGGAATTTATTCTATGCGATCGCGTGGTTAAGGCTGCGATCGCGAAGCTTTAAGGGAGTTATGTTATGCGATCGCGTGGGAGAAGACACGTTCGCGAAGAAGGAAGGAGGGGTGGCATGAAGCTACGCGTTTGTTTATCACGATCGCGTGGAGTTGGATCCCTAGGCATCGCGTTCGCGCGTAGAGTTATGCGTTCGCGAAGGGTTAAGTTGGAAGCTTGTAAGTTTGTGCTTCGCGATCGCGAAGGGGAGCATCTGGGCACAATATAAGATTTCAAAAAATGTGGGTTATATTATTATTTCTCATCTGAACTTTGGGAGTTCGGATTGGGGAGATTCTTGGAGGGATTTTCAAGGAATTAATTGGGGTAAGTGATTCTAACTCGGATTTGGTTAATATACATGAATCTATCAGCGTTTTTACCAGTTAATTAGTATTTTGGGTTGGAAAAATTCGAAATAAATTGTAGAAACTTTATAAACTATAATTTGAGGATTTGAAGGCCGGGTTAGATTGAAATTTAGTAATTTTGGTATAGTTGGACTCGTTGTTGAATGGGTGTTTGAATTTTGTTGGATTCCGAGACGTGGGCTCGGGGTTGACTTTTGAGTTAACTTTTTGACTATTATTAAAGAACTTAGCTTTATCATATGGAATCCTATAGCTTGTGTTGATCGTATTGAGTTGTTTGTGACTAGATTCGAGTCGTTCGGAGACCGATTCGAGTGGCAAGGGCTTGTTGGAGTAGAGATTTGTGCGATTTGAGATAAGTAACACTTCTAAACTTGGTTCTGAGGGTATGAATCGCTGAAATACATGTTATGTGATTGGTGTCGAGGTGACGCACATGCTAGGTAATGGGAATGTGGGCGTGCACTATAGTAATGTGACTTGGTTGATTCCGTGGAACTGTGTAGTCATCTAATCTTGTTATTATTTATGTATTCTCCATGTGTTAGAGAAATTAAGATGTGATTCATATTAGAGATTATGCTTAGGCTATATGCTGGTACTGTTGGGACCCACATGGGTCGTTCTTTCGTTGTTGAGCTATTTGCTTAAATTGTAGTTATACATTAGTCGCATTCATCATTTGCATATCATATCTTAGTCTCTGTTATCATTTATTGTTGCATCATGTATCATTGTTGGGCTAATTGGCATGAGTGTTATGAGCCCGAGAGACTGGAGAGATTGATGATTGAGTGAGGTTGAGGGCCTGATTGTGAGTGATATTGATGGGATCAGGCTGCACGCCGCATCAAGTTTTATTGATTCATGATGGGATCGGGCTTCCCGCCGCAACAAGTTTCATTGACTCATGATGGGACCGGGCTGCACGCCGCAGCAGGTATTATTGATTCATGATGGGATCGGGCTGCGCATCAAAGCAGATTTTATTAGCGCTTGGCAGGATCCGCCCCTTCGGAGTCTGACATATTAACAGCGAGTGCAGATACTGTACAGTGCTGAGTGTGATGAGTGTGAGTTGAGATAGTCAGATTGAGTACTCTGAGAGTGTGAGTACGTGAGGTTACCATTGTGATGCATCACATGAGACATGCACATTTGACATATAGATATAGAGAGGTAACATTCCTCGTATCAGTCATACTTGGCATATTTTATCCGTGTTGAACTTAAAGTCTTAAACTGTTAAACTTAAAAATATGTCTATATTTTTGTACTGTTATAACCTGGATTTGAATTGTAGTTGTCTCAGCTCGTCAC